CCTTCCGCAAGTGTGTGTTCAGGTCTCTTCACACACCTGAAGGCTCCACAGCCGAAACGTTGTGTCTCTTTCCTTTTTCTGGCGGCAGAGAATAGACCTTAAAGGAACAAGTAATAGGTTTATTCCATGCTGAAAAAAAGAAGAAAGAGAACACAACGTTTCGGCCGTGGAGCCTTCTTCATGTGTGATAAACCTATTACTTGTTCCTTTGCAGCCTACGCATGCTGACGCAGCTACCCACCTGAGAATAGACCTTCACCCGTTCCCTAGCAGCCTGCGCACGGTGACGCAGCTCTCCACTTTTTGTCGTCTTGTAACTCCAACCCTTCAAAAGCCTTACAGCCGTGTGCGTCCGGCGAGCTCACCTCTGTAGATGACCTGGGTGCCCGGGCCGAAGATGTACCTGTGGTTGAACCACACGGCGCAGTAGTAGACGCCCTGGTCGGCCGCGGCGAAGTTGCCGATGATGAGCGAGAAGCTGTTCCCGCCCTCGTCCTCCTCGATCAGGAACCGCTGGCCGACGCCCGCGCCGTAGCTCTGCCGCGTGGGGCTCTGCCGGCTCAGCAGGAACTCGAGCGCGCCCCCGCCCGCGCGCCGGTACCAGGAGCGAATCAGCGCGCCCACCTTCTTCCCGCTGCCCTCGAGCCGGCACGCCACCTTCGGGTTCCTGCCGCTCGTGCCGATGACCGACGGGTGCGGTTGCCATAGTTGCAGGTCGGGCTGGTCGTCCGCGCTGCACGAGTGTACTAAACAGAGGCAGCTCGGCGTGTCAGGTATTAGCGACAGTCAAAAGGTATTGACATTAAGACAATCAAAACCTAAGTGTTTCTGAAATGGCTCCATGTTCAGGTCAGGGAACACTCGCAAAGTGAGTCGAGAGTAAACAACGTTTTTAACAGGGGGAAGATCAAATGCATTAAAGACGTCAAAGTTGTGTTATTCGGTTTTTGACCCCAGGTGGAAAGAGTTTTAAAGGTCATTTTATCTGCAGTGCCGCAAACTATGGTTCAAAAAACCCCCTGGTAAAACCCGAAGGATTGATTTATTCTAATTCCACTCTGGTGTACCTGCTTTCCGTCAAACGGCCTGACCGATCATCTCCCATCATATTATGATCTCTCCTAACGTCTTCCTATACCAACAAGGACTGCACTCCAACACCACTACACACACATGTAAGCCGAAATTGTACTGCCCCTTCAATTCCTCAGTAAAACTGTACTAGTTGTAATATTTATTAATCGCAATACTATTTTTGCACTGTACCTCGAATTACCTTGCACTGTTTTTGTCCTGTTATATTTTTTTTCCGTTTGCGCATTTTGCACAGTTTTTGATTACACGTAATGTTACTTCAAGTTATTGTTATTGTGTAACTGTCTATTGTCTTATCTTCTGTCCTATTTATATCCTGCACCTGAGTGACTCGTGAGAAACACTTTTCATTATACTATGCACCTGTGGAAGTATAATGACAATAAAGTCGAATTGAATTAAATGGCCGTTTTACCCGATCCGATCTTCCAACCCGCTCCAGGCCCTCTCCAGCGGGCTCAATATTATCTCTCTGTCCAAGGGGGCGGCAGGTACCGATACATCCGTCCCGTTCGTTTAATGTCGGAAAGCAGCGAATGTCGTGACGACCAGCTGCATGAATCCTTCAACCGGGCGATGAGCCATTACAAGTGACCTTTCACACGCGTTGCAAACTCGGCAGTACATTTTTTTTTAAATCACAATCGTGGGGTCGCAACTGGTAAACGGCGCACGCCTGAGGACCCCAGAGGGACGTTAATGGAGCGGAATGAGAGATCTCGAAACAGATCGCCAGATCAAGTTACCGCAATAATAAATGTGTGCTTCTGTTGGTCTTGAGTCGGTCAGATCCAATGTAACTAGCGAACGGTAGACATTGTCCGCAAGACAGGGAGATACTGGAGGTGTTTTACTGGAAGGCAACAGGACATACACTAAGCTAACGTTCTCCAGTCCTATAATTCGTGTATTTATTTGTTTGAAGTGGTAAAATAATGTTGGGGTGGGAGCAGGGAATCAAATCAAAGCGTATTTCTCAAATGCACAGCAACACAGCGTGCAGCAGTAGTAGTTGCCGGCAACGAATTGTCTTTTCTGCGAGCTCACAAGAATCAGGTGACGAAAATCAGGTTCCAAAATAATAATGTAATAGAAACGGAACAAAACTCAATGTGAGTAGAGCTGTTATGTGTCCATGGTGTGTGCAATATATACATGTAGTGCAGTTATGGTGAATATAGTGAGAATTGTGTGTCCATGTAGCCATTACAGGTGATTTGCTGTTGAGCAGTCTTATTGCCTAGAGGTAGAAACTGTTCCGTAGTCTGTTGGACTTGGACCGAATGCTTCGGTACCGTTTACCGGACGGTAGGAGGGAAAACAGTTTGTGACTGACCCTTTCCTAGTCGCCCAAAAACGGATAGGGCTTCTTAAATAATACAAAAGGCTGTGATCACTCTTAGGTTTAACCCCCTCCTCCCCTGTTCGTGCTTCTGGTCCTCTTACTCTAGACGTAGAGAAGCCGGGGCCCTGTCTGTGTGTGTTTTCTCCTCTGCCGCGCTGGTCTCTGGAGCCGAGCGCTGCCGGAGAGACGCACAAGCGGACAGAGGCGGTCGGTCTGGACTGACGGCGAGACCGGAGGAGCGCATTTTAAACAAGAAGAGAACCGGGATTATTGGCATTATCGATGCCAGTGATCGGTATTTTTCATAGAGCTGATCACTTCAACAAAATATGAATTGGTATTATTATATTACTGATATAAATTAAGAAATGTGTGGTTCGTAAACAACAACAATAAACCGAGCGTTTACAGCAAATTGCTTAATGGCGCAGTTTACCAACATATGGAAAACCCTTCAATTTGCTGTGAAAGCGACGCTCATTTTCCTTAAAAGCGAAAATGAATTGAATTCGCCTGTCGGTCAGTTGAGCTTCATTAATAAACTTTCGGCGGTCAAGTCTAGCTTTTCGAGTGCGAGTGCACAGATATCTCTCTGTTCAGTGAAACCTCAACAAAGGTACCGATGATGTTTTAATTAGCGAGTTTATACAATCAAGTTTTTTATTTAAACAAAAAAAAAGTTTTTTAAAAAAACTTAACACGACAGTCAAGACTGCCGCAGCATGGATACATTAGAAATCCCTAACAAAATGTGGATACACTCTCCGGTGTATATCTAAGATATGTGTTTTTCTAAAATTAATTGATTGATTTGTTTTAATGTATTGGTTTATTTTCTAAACAAACGTGTTAATAAACGCGAGGCGAGAAAAGCCACTTTTTTACCTAATGCTACAGTAAAAAAAAGTGCTGGTGAAACAGGCCTGCGAAAAACAAAAAGGAGTTTATTACTAATTCTGCCAATTTGGAAAACCTTGTTACTATTAGTCTGGAATCGAAATTCTTCTTTGATCAGGATTTAAAACAGAGAGAGAGCATTATAGTAAGAAACCTGTCAAATTATTCCTTGACTTCTGTATTACACCTTTATAATTAATACTATTTAGAGCTCATATTTATTTTTTGGACCTGACTTGATGTTTCCTTTTACAATATGGCGGTTCTTCATCCGCGATCGATAAAGACTCTGCTCTCGGCAGGGCTGATGGCAACTGCCTCTTAACTTTTCACTGATCGCGCCGCCTGTTTGTTAGCTATGGGTTAAATGAATGATGTGTGTATGTACAGTATAGAACACGATATTGTTTGTATTCTTACTAGACGGCTTTTTCCCCTTCTGAAACGTTATTCGATTTTATTCCCTTAGCATTTATTGTGCCACGTACTATTATAAATAACTATATGATGTAATATAAAACCTTATAACAATAAAATAATAATAATAGCAATAAAAATAGATTTAAAAATCAAATTAGACTCAAGCTGTACTAACCCGCGTTCATTGGGTGGTCCTTCTTGTTTTGATTATTAATATTTCTAACTTAATATTTACTTAGTTGTTGGCTAAACAATTTTATAACATTGGATATGATACAAATATACTAATAGAATTATATATCAGTATTAGTATATCAGGGAAGAAATATAACTAAACAATTCATTTAACGTCAAGAAAGTTTACTCGATTTCCCCACCTGTAACTTTTGCGGGCTGTAAAATCTTAACAATTTTGACTATCGCAATCAAATTTGATGCTCACACGCTGTTAATACAGAATGATTTTATAATCTACATCAAAATTCGGTAACGAAATTCGGTATCGCGATAATAGAAACTTTTCCGATATTCACTTACTTACTTATTAGTATACTCTAATTATTTATCAGCACATGAAATATTTCCATTATCATTATTAGCTTTTGCATTCTGCCTACCAGAGCAGGCCAGAGCCAGGAGCACGAGCAGGTGACGGGGCGCAGTCATGATCGCTGCCGCGCGCCGGGGCTGCAGGGAGACGAGTGGCGACAGCGCGCGCGGGCGGCTGCTCTGTTACAGAGGCGCCCCCCGCCGACCCGCTAACGGCCGCAGTGCAGCTGGGGCAGGGGGGTTCACCAAGAGCAATGCGACCCCGCCCTGTGGTTGTGGCAGCGCTGCCTGCTGCAGGTAAGATAAACGACAAGTAACAGGTTTATTCCATGCTGAAAAAAAAAGAAAGAAAACACGTTTCGGCCGTGGAGCCTTCTTCGGGTGTGAAGATTGGACTCTTCTTCCAATCGCCTGCGGGGCAATGGACCGGAATCTAATCACATCAGAAACTACACCTCTGTATTATTGATAATTATGCATCTATCGTTGTACTTAATTAGTGTAAAGGTATAAAACAACTTCATTAAAGACAGTTTTTTTTTAACACGAAAAGGGAAAAGTGTTTTATATGTAACAGTACTGCTGTAGGACAGCACTCAGGACAGCGGGACACTGCTGTAGGACAGCACTCAGGACAGCGGGACACTGCTGTAGGACAGCATTACACTGCTATAGCAGAGCATTAAGGGCATCACGACTGCTAAGACCATTGCAACTCTATGCATCAGAACACTGAGATCCTGATCCTGATGAGATACTGGGATCAATTAACCACTCAATACGAAACGGGCTAGAGGGGCCCAGTGGGCTCCTCTCGTCTCTCAGCTTTCTTATGTTCTTAATGAAGGGGGGGGGTTGAGTCATATCGGACAGCTCTAGGGGTGGGGACCCACAGGGGCAGCGCAGGACCACATGCCCTGCTCCGCCTCCCGGTGTAGAAGGATTGTCCCCGTTATTGGGATTTTCTGAGAGAAAGGAAAGGAGCTGCAGCAGGAAGTACACGCGTCTCCTTGGCCCAATCCACTACTCCTCCGCCTCCCGCCCTCCCCCAACAACGGGCCTGGGTTCGACTGGGAGGGGATGTGACTGCATGCTCCGGATTCTCTTTCCGGTCTGTCCTAAACCCTCTTCTTCCCACCAGATCCACACCCACCCCACACAGCCAGGCAACTTTTGGGTGCTGCATGCCCCCCCCACTCTCTGTGTAAAGAAGCTCCACCCAACCTCTCAGTCCTAAAGGCACCGGTTCCACCACCCTGAGGATGTTCACTTCCAGCCCCTGGGGACCCGCCCCGCTAGGGGCCAGGGGCTGAACCGCCACACAACAGCCGCTGGACGATTAGAGACCAGCCCGGGGACTGAAACAAGCATGAGGTTTCCAAGCAGATCCAGGCAGGAAAGCAAACCGATCGGAGTAAGGAAAATGGCTCCCGTTTATTCTCTAACATTCTCGTTCGAGAGCGATTTAGGCCTGTGCAGGGCCTTTTATTTTAGAAAGACCAGGTGCCTCTGCTTCCTACCCCGGATGCGGGTCTCAGTTGCTGGGTGGGTCTCCCTCATTCTGTAGAGGGAAGGCTGGGTGCAGGAAGTCCAGAACAAAAAGCAGCACTGAAGACCGTTTCTGTTTCTTTTGTATAGAAATTTGTCATGTCAGGTTCACGGTCTGGGTCATTACTCTCAGTATTCCTGCTCAGTAATCCCTGAGTAACAGGGTGCTGAAATTATTAACTTGTAAGCTCCCCGATTCAGAGTCAACACTTTAGCCTCTCTTCAATTAAATTATTCACACCCCAACCTTACTATATTTTTAAGTTCTCATGGGATGTAACTCAAAACAGGACTGCACCTGGACCTCAAAGGCTGGGGATACTGTTAGGATGAGAAATCACTACCAAGACACCCATTCCATTAAAGTTAGTTAATGCAAGCTCATGGTTTCTGCACATCTGGAGATTTGCAGCATCAGCTCAGTTATTTGACTGACTAGAGTGGGAGAGAAAGACCAGATGAACTTGCAGGGAAGAACCACAAGGGGGCGATAAAATCTCACTGAGGAGCAGGACTCTGGTATTTCAGGTACAAGTGTTAATCGAAAAACACTGACCTGGAGTATTCATGGCACGGGTGTGTAGGCACAGGGAAGGGGTACATGCGTGCCCAGCTCGAGCAAAGGAATGGAGGGGGAGCGAGAGGAGACTGGACAACTGTACTCCAAGGCCACCAGCTTCACGAGGCTGATTTAGTCTCCTGACAGAGGGAGGTGCGATTGAAGATGAAGCAGGAGGGGACAGCTCCTCTCTGGAAGGGAAGGGGCCAGCAGTCCCTGAACCAGCACAGGGAGAGGAAGGACTAGATCCCGAATCGGCACCAGAGGAGTTCAGGAGCTCAGAGGAAGAGTCCAAGAGCAGATGGAGAGTTCAGCTGACCTTTCTTCCCCTGAACTCCCATTATCATCAGCACCCCAGTGGTCAGTGCTGAGTGTACCCTCCCCTTGTCTCGATAGCAGCACTAAGCCCTATGAGCCTGGAGAACACACTGAGGCTCTGCTCCACACCGAACTCTCGATACCCTCCAGGATGTGCGCATGGACTGACCTCCCCAGTTCACACCCCAGGTTTCCAACAGGTTCCAGTCTGGTGACGGACTGGCCCATTGCAAAATGTTGGGTTGATTTTGTGATGCATTCTCTGTGGATTTTGAAGTGTGCCTGGGACACAGATCCACTTCCAGCTCGGTTGAACCCTCCTGGCAGGTTCCTCCAGGTTTTGAGTTAAAACGCCCTGGCGCCCTGAAGAGCCCGTGGTGTCGATGACCCTCTCAAGAGTCCCAGGACCAGGGGAAGCAAACCAGCCTCATGATGTCCAGATCAGCACCATACTCCTCGTTCCTTTCTGCTATCTGGCCTCCTTCTTTCTACACCAACCCCCCCCACCGTAGAGGGGTGTGTGTGTGCGCGTGTGCGTGTCCACAGTGCTGTTCCCCTCTCACCTGACCACCACTGCCAGTCCCAGTGCGAGAGCCCGCGCCGTCTCGCCCGCTCCAGGCGCTCACTGGTGCGCGTCGGCTTCTCTTCCTTCCGGCAGCTGGTCCCAATACCCTGTTGCCATGGCAGCGACGTCTGATGGGCGGAGCGGTGGCTCTGTGGCTCAGGATCTGTGCCTGTGACTGGAAGGTTGCCGGTTCAAATCCCGCAGCTGGCAGAGGAATCCTACTCCGTTGGGCCCCTGAGCAAGGCCCTTAACCCCAACTGCTCCAGGGGTGTTGTACAATGGCTGACCCTGCACTCTGACCCCCAGCTTCTCTCCCTGTCTGTGTGTCTGTGTCTCCTTGGAGAAAAGCTGGGGTATGCGAAAAGACGAATTTCTAATGCAAGAAATTGTATAGGGCTAATAAAGAAACATTATTATTATTATTAACATTATGATGGCAGGTTTGGTGAGCTGCTGACCCAGAGGGCCAACCAAGCCCCTGTTTATTCTCCTGGTTGTTCTCTGCCTCCTGAACTTTCCTGCTCCCTGTGGGCAGGGGCAAGACTCGCTCGGACATCCCACACCAACCGGTTTAAACCTCCTCACCGCCGCTTAAAGAGGAACACGGGTTCAACCCCGGTGTCAAAAAGACGCTGAATACCCGCTCTTATTACAAAAGCTTTCTGCCTGAAGGCCGATTTCTAGACCGGAGTGTCTGACTAAAGTCGTTTTCCGCAACATAAACAGACAAACCGTCCTGCTGACGACGGGGCAAAGAGACCCAGGAACACGAACAGGAAAGGGGATGTCCGGAGGTCAGTTTCTTCCTCCAGCCTCGAACAGACCCCGCAGCCAGAAACAAACCACAGCATAGGAACCGCTTCCAGCGCGGAACACTCAACAGACCAAGCATTGCCGCGAAAGAGACCATTCCCTCTAGAAAACGATGCGACGCCAGCTCTCTGCCCTGAACCTTCATTCCGCTTTTCTCGACGAGCAACACCTGTGCGCGAGCCGGAGCACCCCGCGCGAGCCATCTTTCGCGTCCCCAAGCGGAAGCAATTAGAGCCGGCGAGCCCGAGGGCGTCCGCGCCCCCTTGTGGCTCCGAGCGGTACTACTGGCCCTCGTCTCCGTGCTTGATCCCGCCGCTGTGCGATGCGATTGAGGTGGGCCAGAGATCGAAAGAAATCATCCTTTCTTTCAGCAGATCGATCACGGCACACAACACTGCAGTACCTGGCAGCTGGGGGTGTGATTTGTTTTAAATTCAGGTGTGAAAGAGTTTTCTACACACAGTGTGAAATGCACAGTTAAGCACTGACTGGATTAAACCCTCGCAAAGTCAGCAGGCGTCTGTACACCAGTGAAGAACTGAGGACGAGGAAGCCCCCCATGTACATGAGATGACAAAACGCCCTCAGCCAGGTTTTCACCCCTGTTACCCCTGAGCCTCTGCAGCTCCTGTGCTCAGCCTTGGGTGTCCACACTGGAAACAGCAGCTCCAGGTCAGGTCCTGAGACATGAAAACGCTCCATCTTCAAGGACTGATTGCTGTTGCTCCTCGCCTGCGGGAGACTCTGGCAGTGAAATTCAGTTCCAAGATCTTCAGACCTCAGCAGCTCAAACCCGGGCTTGGATTTTTTGCAGGTGATCACATCACTCCTGTCTGGGAGTCGTGAAAATTAAATAAAAAGGAGCGTTTCATGACTGTGCAGGCCTGGGCCTTTCCTTACAGAAAAACAGTGCCATCGTGTGGCCACACACAATATTGCCGGGTTGACTGAGACAAAGCTTCCTAGTCATGGTTCTCGTCATCACAGCGTCTGTAGACCTCTGTTACCACTCTGTTGAGCCCTTAAAGTCAGGAGGTCCTGCAGAGGTCAGGTCCTACAGTCTCTCCTGGTCTCTTTAAAGCAGGGCTGTCCAGTCCTGGACCTGGAGGAGTCAGTGTGTCTGCAGTCTCTCCTGGTCTCTTTAAAGCAGGGCTGTCCAGTCCTGGTCCTGGAGGGGTCAGTGTGTCTGCAGTCTCTCCAGGTCTCTTTAAAGCAGGGCTGTCCAGTCCTGGTCCTGGAGGGGTCAGTGTGTCTGCAGTCTCTCCTGGTCTCTTTAAAGCAGAGCTGTCCAGTCCTGGTCCTGGAGGGGTCAGGACCAGCCCTGAGTGAGAGACACTACAGTGACAGGACATGGCTGTGTCCACTGCTCACTGCACCTGGGTCAGCAGGGAAGACAGACTTTTCTTCTGCTGAGACCTGTTTCACACCAGTTTGTCAAGCAAGCAGCACCCCCTCTGTGACTTTATTCACTGTCAATTTATTAAAACAAACTCCCAGCATACAAGCAAAACAATACACTCAGTAAAGCTAAAAATAACACTTGAAAAAACATGATTACTCATCCTAATTACCCTGATCCCAGAGCAGAGGGCAAATAATTACAAATATAACCTTCTGATGGAAGCAAAAGCAATAAAGAATAAAGGAATAAAAAGTTAAAAAAAAGTTTTAAAAAACTATGACAGGGAGAGATGAGTCCATTCATGGTTAAACATCACAAGGTGCCCTGTATGGTAACTGGCATGAGGTCCAGTTTGATCTCTGGTCTTTCCAGAAAAGGCTGGACAAGATGCTGGGATCAGTAGATGTCAATGTACTGTGATACAGTCCACTGGTCTCCACTGGAGCTCCTGTATTACTTCATTTATGATGTACAGGAAACCCAGGAAGAATCCTGATGCACAACAGCTAGATCCACTCCAGGTTTTACAATGTTGTCAGGCTGATTCCCGCTCCACAACAATGCGATCTGCTCCAGGTTTTGCCAGCTGCAGCTGCGATAATCAAATCTTTTGTCATCAGAATTTTCCATACATGATCGGCTCCGGAATTCATGGAAGTTTATAGTGACGTTCCGAGTGGCATGCCAGTGGGATTTGGTCGGGAATCGTTTGGCTAGAGCAGTGTTCTCCAGTGCTAACACACAGAGTGGGTATATCCTGTAATTCCGGGATGTCCGAAGTCGGGAAGGGCTCCGGAGTGGGAGACAGGATGCACACGTCACAGCTGTGTCCTCGCTCCATCTTCCCTTTTCCTCCCATTGTCTTCGCAGTCATCCAGACTTCCTGCTGCAGACCAGCATGCCAGACTCGGACGGAAGCTTCTGAGGGCAGGATCTTGGGGAGACCTGGGAGCTGAAGTCACATGTCCCCCCTGGCCCTCAGGAAGGCTTGGAAAACAGGATGAGATCCCCTGTATCTCCTGAAAGCAGGGTTTCTGTGGGAATCAGTACTCCTCCCTCTTTATCTAGCTGGCTGTCTCCTCTCTCCCCTGTCCGCCTCTGTCCTCTCCCTTTCCTTTTCCCTGGGCCTCTCTTGTCCTCTCCCTGTCCTTTCTCTTCTCCCTCCCTTCTCTCTCCTCCTCCCCTCTCTCCCTCTCCCCTTCTCTCCTCTCTGTCCCTCTCTCTCCTCTCTTTTCTCCCTTCTCTCTCCCCTCTCCTCTCTCCTCCTCCCCCCTCCTCTCTCCT